CTTCCGGTTTGCCATACACCGTACACCAAGCTGTAAGCTTAATTTCAAAGGCCCACAAATATGGAACAAACCATGCCAGCATGATGAAAATTGCACTGGGCTGTTGTGAAAAGAATGTGCTCTCTGTTCGTGTAAACATAACAATCAATTTCCTGCAGCTCTGTCAGTCAGTCTAAATAGAACGCTGACCTCACAGTTACAATGGCTGAGTGACTATGATATCAACATACCACAAAGATGATATACGTGTGGTTGTGAATAAAGCAAACAAAAAAGAAACAAAGCCCTTGGTTGTTTGCAATTACAACAGAAACATGCTAGGAGTGGATCTGACGGATCAAATGCTATAGCTGTACTTGCTTGAATAAAAGAAGGATACTAAGTGGTATCAGAAGTTATTCACGAGGCTACTATGTAGCAATACATAACACAATGGTCATATATCGGTGTCTCCCGAATAACAAAAACATGGGCACGCTAAAGTTCAGACTTTCACTAGCACAAGGCCTCGTGGAAAATCACGGTTCTGGTTTTCCTCATCCTGTATATGGCCGTCCGCCTAAAAGACTCAGAGACCGACATTTCCTAGAGCGTACTCCAGCCAAAGGAAAGAAGCAAAGCCTCAAAAAAGATGTGTGGTGTGCGCAAAACATGGTAAAAGGAAAGAATCTATTTACTGGTGTAGTGAATGTGAGGCAGGGTTGTGTTTAGATGGATGTTTCAGGAAATACCATATGAAACTCAACTTCTAATCCACTTGCTTCCATCGCTCAGATACAGAGCGGTCATATTATAAGGTAAGATTATAAAACGATCTTTTAAGGTGATTTCAATGAAAAATTCATAATTATATCTCATATAATTCAAAAGTTATCATACATAATATAATTCAGAGCAAAATTTAAATGGGCAATTAAAAAATACACTCAACTCTCGATTATCCGGGATAATGGTGGGGATGGAAATCACGATTAATCGAAAACCCGGTTAAGACAAATTTTATTAAAAGTAGTACTGTAATACTGTACCTTCATAATACTATAGGCCTACCTGTATTTAAATTTATTCAACCTCATTTTTATGTCATCTCATGGCCTAGTTAATACTTTTTTTACATTACACTGAAGTATGAATTAGTTATTTCAATCACAGTGTTCAACAACATCCAACACTTAACACTCAAAAAATTTAATATTGTCGTTTGCTTTTTCGCGGCATTTTCCTCTTTACGGATATCCGTATGAAGCCTACAAAATATTATCTTGTCAAAACTGTTCTCTTCACTCTCAAGATAGTCTAGTAAGGATTCCAAATCATTAAGAGCAGCACTGTCCACCTCTTCCTCATTCTCACTTTTGTTTTTTCAAATCTCGAACACTTTCTTCTCCAATGCTGTATTGCATTGCTAATTGTTTAACTACACCTCTTTTTCCCAACTGATTGATAATTTCAAGTTTCTGTTGAATACTTAACACAACACGCTTCCTTTTACACCCTGACATTTTGCTAACGCACTTGAAGATCGATACAAAGATACTAACTGGGGCGATGTATCTGTCCTTGAAACTTTCCACAAATCCTTGCATTCTTTCTCCCCTACCCTAGAACATTGTGTTAGCATAACGGGACCAAAGAATGCAGAGCTCGGTTCACACTAGTGCGAAAATAGTGTTACAACTCACCATGTGAAACAAAAGTGAATGAATATTAAACAACATATAAGCCTCAAAAAACCCTCAGTAGCCCTGGTTAAGCCACAAACCGGTTAATCCGGCCCCAGTTAATCGCGAGTTGACTGTACTACTGCAGGAGGCTCCACAACAGCGATATTTAAATGCCCGCGCTGAAGGGTTAACAATCTGAACAGCGTTTTTAGAGAAAAATAATACGTTAAAATATATTTAAATTTATGTTGAATATAGTGTAACATGTTGCGCTATGCAGGACACCCCTCCATCCACCAGTGGTGACGTAACACCATCAGAGCGCTGTCGTTACTAGGGTAGCAGGCAAGTCAACACTCCTTCCCCTACCCCGCAGAGTGAAGAGATTATTGCGAATAGGGTTATAAAGTGTGAAACCCCGCAACACTCAATTGTAGCCGAGACTTGTAGGTTGTTAAATATACCAATTAACAATCCGAACGGTGTCTTCAGTAACTAAACATGTTACAATATTATTGTGTTTTAGCTTCATAATACAGGTCATGGAGGAAAATTTAGCAGTTACCAATGGCCAAGTATGAAGACCAGTTGTATGATACATGGTCAGGGAATTTTTCTGCTAAATGGTTTATTAGTAAAAGACTCCTTATTTATTCAGTAAGAATGATCCCAAACATAGTGCAACATTAGTGAAAAACTGGTTTGGGGAGGGGATATGAGTGGCTATGAAGTCCTGACTTGGCATCTAAAACCTGTGTGATGAATAAGATGTATTAAGGGCTGTAGATCAATGTCTGCAGCATGATGGAATGTAATGTTTGCTTACTGAGTCCATACCTCAGTGTTGTCAATGTTATCAAAAGTTTTAATTGTAGTACAAAGAAGTAATCATACCTGACTTGTCTGTACCCCATACCTTGGTTATTGTTCCAATTTTTAACGCACTAAAGCAATAAAAGACTATACATTTATGCAGCACTTGAAGCCTTCAAAATAGATACATATTTAAATATATATACAGGGTGTCCCAGAAGGAATGGACCAAACTTCGGGAGGGTGTTCCTTATGTTAAAGTATGCCAATATAACCCAAAACACCTATGTCCAAAGTTGAACAGTTACGGAGATAATGGCCCGAGGAAAGTGTGGTCTTCTGGCAGGTCCACACACTATACCTGTCAGCTGAGACTCTTATCTGTTTGTCCTTGAGTGCTGTGAGTCACATTAGCCGTAAGCTCATGCGCTACCTACAGAGCCTACAGATTATGTTGTGGTGGGGTCGTGAATGGGTGGTAAATTAGTTGTGTGATGAGTTGCTGAAATGCCTCGTGTTTTCACACGTGGAATACTGTGATATGCATTCTGCGGTGGCAATGCATGTGCTGCTGTTGAAGAATACCAAAGGCGTTTTCCCGATCGAAGGATTCCATCTCGAAGTGTATTTACACGAATTCACCAGACATTGCGTGATACTGGTTCTCTTGCGAGTGTTTGTGTGCACTCTGAAAGGGAGGATGTACAAATGATAGACACACGAGAAAACATTCTTGATATGGTTCACAGAAGTCCGCGTCTGTCCATTCGAAGAATGGCGTATCACGTATGCAGGTGTGGCAAACTTTACATGATGAAGAGTTGTATCCTTACCATGATCAAAGGGTACAACATCTGGAACCAGGCGACCATGCACAGTGTATGGATTTGTGCCACTGGATAAAAAGCTCATCCCGAACTGTTAAGTATCATTTTATTCAGTGCTGAGGAGTCTTTTACACTAGACAGTGTAAATAATTTACAAAATGTGCATACGTGGTTCCATAATAATCCACATGAGATAATGGAAATGAAATTCCAAGAGATTTTCCGTGAATGTACGTTTAATACAGTTATGTAGTCGGCCACGTTACGTCATCACTCGCCAGTCATGTGTCATGTATAGTGCTTGGAAACCCTAAGGACAATTATGACATGGCGAGCGAGTATTTTGTACTTCAATTTTATGGCTTCACGTCACTCACAAGTTAGTTTGATGTTACGTACATTATTAACATTACAGAATCCACATATTCCTGCCAGTTTTAATATGTATTTTGTAATCAACAAGTGTGTAACACCGGTCAAAGTTTGACACTTCTCTGGCCATTATCTCCGTAACCGTTCAACTTTGGACATAGGTGTTTTGGGTTATATCGGCATACTTTAACATAAGGAACACCCTCCCGAAGTTTGGTCCATTCCTCCTGGGACACCCTGTATATATATTTATTTTATATCAAGATCATCTCAAATTATTTTAAATTTCATGCAGTTTCATCCACACATCACATATCACCATTTGTTTGCAAACATGCTCATTTTTCCTTTGTGACAGGAAAGGACTCATAGAAACAGTCTTCATAATTTTTTCATAATAATAATAATGAAAAAATCAAGATGGTAATCTGTGACTTGTTAAGGGCAATGCGTGAGCCATTACAAGAGCTTATCAAGTTTGTACATACTTGTACAAAGAAACTGGTTTCATTGTAATCTGTGTCTGATTTCATTTAAGACCAAAATATTCCTTTAAGAATGAAGTGGTAATAATCTTCTTACGGGTAATAAGAACCCAGGTCCTCATAAATTAAGAAAGTGTACAAACTATGGCAATAATTTTTTCTTATTAAAAAAATATCCATATGGGTGTCAGAAAACTTGTATGTCAGACATACAAACTATCCTGTTCCATAAAAATTAAGGGTTGTAGAAAAAGTGATAAATATAAGAAATGTTCTTCTTGGTGAGATACCCATATCTTTGTAAAAGGAACTGCTTCTTTAATTCAATAAAGAGGGTATCCAAAAGACTATGACACACACTTCCAAAAGGTTATCAAATTATGCATATTTACATAGAAAAAGGGGGGAAATATTGTATTTTTATTGGTTTTTACTGTATGTTTTGTTGGACTCCTGCTACTTCAAGTGCTCATATGCTAGCAGTATTGCAGTAATTTATAATTTGCTGCTTGCAAATGTCATGAGATTTGAATCACAATAAATTATGTAGTTAGTACTTAGCATTCAATTCATATACTCGCCTCCAGACCATTCACACTTCTGCTTGTCTTGCAAGGACAAAAGAGGGAAGTGTTCATAAGGCAGGATTTTGTTTATTGACAGTGACAGAGTGGTGAAGTTGATTGTTGGCAGGGGAAACTTAGATTTACACGGACTCTGAACCATTGGTGGCGCCTGGAGTTTCCCATGTTTAAAAAATCTTAACTTTATATGAGATGAAGGATATGATTAAATCTTAAATCAGGACACTACATGATAATAGGATTTCTCTGAAAACATAATATGAACATGTTTTATAAACAACTACTGATACAAAAGCAGCACCTATGAAAGGACATATAAGAACAAAAAGGACTGTCATTAGATGATCCACCTGGTGTAAAAGTTAATGAATTATATATAATTCCACTAGTATTTATGATGGTAACCTGCAGTTTGAAGACTGAATCTAATGCAGTCCTACAACATGACTCAAGTAGTGGATGACCCTGGTGGGTGCATCTTCAGTGTATACAACAGTTAAAAGAAAGTGAAAGTCTCGCACGCTGCATTCTGAGTGCTCTCGACAGACATACAAACGATAACTGACAGAGAAACTATTGCTGGAGGCTTGCTTCTGCTTTGGCACAACTATGCACAATGTCATCTCTTGCTCATACTCCCCTCCATAGGTGTTCGCTGACCATGACGGATCTATAAACAGCATAAAAAAGGATTTTTTTGTGTAAAAGAAACTACCACACTTATTTGACTATAATATGAACCAGAGTTACGGTGCCAAATTTGAAGAGAAAATAATTTTGTTACTTGTCTGGATAAAAGTATCAACTCCAGCAGTTAGTGGCTGCCTGATTTGGCCTTCACATACAAAATAAACCCTGGCAGATGCTTTATAAATTCCACTAACAGCTGTTATCTTGACACTCCCATGATACACTCCATTTTGTCCCATGCAAATTTTGTAACTGAGCAAACACCATCCAACATAATGGTAGCCAATAATGTATTTTAGCTCACAGAAAATATCTGCAAACATATAAATCAATTTAAGCAATATGCTTCCAAACTATACACTAGCAAGGGTTCCTGGAGAAGGAGGAAATGTTTTGGGGATACTAGTTGCAGAATTGCATATACTCAATTCAAGCATGAATTTACATGATAAAACAGTAAAGCTATCCCTGTAGCAGGCTGTAGAGGCCCTTAGGTTTGTAAGACATTGAGGCTCTCACATTTTGCAGATGACTGGCCCACTAGTGGCGGTGAGGTTATGTTAGAACAGTTGAATGTGTAACTTTAGCATGTGGCCATTTATACAAGTCCTCTGCAGAAACAAGGATGCACAAAGTTTGCATTTATCACCTGGGCTCTGATATGAGGATATCAATACCACAGAAATTATGTCTATATCATGGATGAATGGCATTAGTAACAGTGGAAAGACGTGATTATTGGAAGTGAGCAGAAAAGCAACCACCACAGTGAATGGAAACACAGGTGAATCCATGGAATACTTCATGACAAATTACTGTATAACAGTAGATTTAACTGTGAACTCACAATGAAATGTCTTCCTACCTCATCTTCTACTGTAATTTTTGCTTATTTGCTTCTGAGACACATGCTTGCTTAATAGGAATTTCTTGTGGTTGTACGCGAATGACGTCCAACTTCCACTTTTTCCTCTAGGGCTTAATTTCTTTCTTTATTCTGGCATGCTTTCTCAAGCTACTGAACTTACTTTGGACTACTTCTGGTGAAACACTGAACTCACTTGCAATTCAAAACCATGTATCCTTAATATTTATATTCTGATACTGATATATGGGTGTATTTAAAGAGCATTAAAAACATTAAAAAATCTGATGTTACTGTTAGCCATTTAAATAAAAATATAAAATCAAATAGCAAGCGAGACACTGACACATTAACACAGTGCAATGGCAATTGAAGCATGTCACAACATACTAACCTGAAGCTGCCATTTTATTTTCAATCCTTACTCAGACACATATTAACTATCAGCAACCTGCTGATTTCTCGAAAATTCTGTGAGAGATACTGGCCCACCCCAACATATGGAAAATAATAGCTATATGTTGCTCAGTCTTGGTCAGTCAATGCCACAGAGAGCAAATTTGCTGCTGCCACGTATTGCCTCATGAAGTTACTCATCTAAATGTGTCCAATCAAAATATATTTTCTTACTTGGAATGTGATGCAACAGTTGATTTGGTAACACATCACCAGCAAAGAGATGGTGACAAATAATAAACTGGAAGATCAAACATCAAAGTCTAATTTTAAGTGGTAATGGCACTTCTATTTTCTGGAGAAATATATTTCCATTGATCAGGTTATTCCAACTCTGGTCACCTTCCAGAATTACTCAGCTCAAACTGCTTAATCCAAACGTGAGGATAAGGTTCATTACCATGTTCACAAGAGCCTTTCACTGATTCCTATCCTGAGCCAGATCAATCCAATCCATATTGTCCCATCCTGTCTCTCTATGTTCCATTTTAATACTGTTCACCCACCTATGCCTTGGTCTTCCCACTGGACTCTTTCCCTTTGACTTTCCCACCAATATCCTATATGCATTCCTCTTCTCACCCATTCGTGCTACATACCCTGCCCATCTCATCCTCCTTGACTTGATCATTCTAATTATGCTTGGAGAAGAGTACAAGTTATGAAGCTCCTCATTATGCAGTTTTCTCCAACCTCTTGTCACTTAATCTCTCTTTGGTCCAACTATTCTCCTCAATACCCTGAGTCTATGTTCCTCTCTTACAGTCAGAGACAAAGTTTCACACCCATACAGGACTACAGGACTACTATAGTTGTTCCCAAATATCTGAACTGTGCTACATTCTCAAAACGTCTGTTACCCGTCTTTGTCATGGAAAGAAATGATCTGTGGGAAAAAATACAAACACCCATCCCATGGGTAAGTTTTGAAAATGTTACCACAAAAATCATAATTAAATGACTACAGCCACAGTGTCTGGCTCCAAGGAAATATAATTCCTTTAAATGGTGGTACATTATTACCTGGAAACTCCAGAGCCCATTTCTGTGGTGCCATGTCTGTAAGTGTGATGCCATCATTTAGTGTGACTGATATGAACAGACTGATTTCTCCACCATCTGAACTGATTGCAAGCTCTGATGGCAGAATGGTTCCAGTCATATTTTTACTTTCTGGCTGCTGTTTGCACTCTGGTGGTAGCAAGATTGTCAACTGCAATAAAATTTCTTTTACACTACCTAGAATTTATTTCTGTATGTTTGCAGGTGTTCATGGCAGAGTGTGTTCAGACTGTGGTTTGCTTAGCTGTGACATCATGTAGTGTTCAACATAGATACTAAATTTTCATAGGAACTTGGTGCTTCCATCTTCAGGATAGAAATTTGGTTATGGAAGATAGGTAGATAGTAAGTAAGGTGATCATTCAGATCCATGAGAGGGGGATAGGAGACAACCCAGTCTGAGCTGAAAGCAAGAATGAAATTATGTGAGGTAAAAATGACCCTTTTAGGGAAAACAATATTAGCACCACAGATGGGACAAGGAATTGTACAGAAAACAGTCCCTGGTAGAAGAGTATCACTTTGGGAGGAAGGGACTATTCCATCTTTGAAGAGAATCTTCTTTGTCCCTTCCTTTAGGAAGAAGATTAGTGGTTTGCACAACCTGTTCAGAGAAAACAATGATGACATGAACATGGAATATGGATTCCCTTGGATAGGTCATGGAAGCATTTAGTCATGAAAGGGTAATGGGACATATAGATATGGTTTCAGTTAGCATCAAGCTATGAATGGGTAAGGGGACATGCAGATAAGGCTCCATGGCTACCCATAATGTCATCAGTGTGTAAGTGGGCATGTAGATAAGGCTTAACCATGCAAAGAAAGGATGAGAGGGCATTCATGTATGATTTCATAATTAGCAACATGTCATGGGGTATGATGGCCATAGAGTGCTGTGTGGCTGTTGTTATTATATGAAATCAGCAATTCTACTATATGTGTGTGATTTTGGAGATGCCACTACAACCAAATCATATAAATGTTCTACTGACATGCAACCAGTGAAAGTTTATAGTTCAGTTCCACAAGTACTGAATTTTAATTTATGATATAAAATAAACATTTGCAATTATCGGCATTCCTGTCTTCTACTTCAAAAACAAGGTGAAAACAACTGCTTTGAGTTGAGAGCACCCATAAGGCAGACTGTGGTATCAAAAAGTAGGATGATGGTGAGAAGGGACCCACCATTTAATATCAATAAAAATGGTGGTAAATCCTAGCATTCTGTGTTTCCAAACTTCAAGCTTTGGCAGAGGCAAGGGCTTGCCTTGCATACATAAAAGGTTGCACCAGAACTTAGCTGGGTATTAAATTGGAGACCCTTAGAATTAGTCTTTTGCTTTATCCTGAGATCACATCATTGTTTTATAGGCTGCCGACATATCTGAATTACTTAAGAAAACAAACAAACAAACAAACTCTGTTGCTTTATTCTGCAAGCGAAGTATACCAACCGATTGACCGCTGCTTCTGGGCGAAGTTAGTGCCAACTTTAATGGATAGATGATGTCAGTGCAACGAATCCCCACTGTCATTAATTTCAGTTTTTTATACTGGAACCACTATTTCCTTGAAAAAGCTCAATTATCCTCATGAGGCTGAGTGGACTCTGTGCCAGGTACTGCCGGGAATTGAACTCGGGGCCTCTGGATCTGTAGTCAGGAACTCTGACCACCAGACCACAGAGGAGGTCTAAAATAAAGTGACAACAGTAAGTGCTGTTCCAAAGCAGTCACTAGTTCCAGTACGAACCAGTACTAACTGCAGTATTGCTTAACTTTGGTGATTGGAGGTGAACCAGTGTTTTCAATATGGTATGGCTGAATTACTTACTTTTACAATTGTGTATTTACAAGACAAAAGTTTATAATGCTAAAACGTCTAGAGGTAATGCTCCAGACTTATATTCAGGAGGTACTCAGTTTGAATCTCGACTGGGATGCTGACAGTCCTGACTGAGGTGATTTGTGGTTTTCCTCAATCCCTCTAGGCAGATGCCAGGAAAATACCTCAATTAGGCCATGACCACTTCCTTCCAAACCATTTCCAATTCATCCATCACTCTACCACCTGATGCTATACAGTCTTGATACTGAAAATACTGTAAGATGACCCCCCCCCCNAGTACTTTGACAACCAAGTGTGCCAGTCTACTGTCACTAAACACTAACAAGGAATCATGCCTGTTTTAGTGCAGAATATAGTTACCTTCTCAATTATTTTATCCTTCAAGTAGACAACTTTAATGCAGTGGTTGTTAGTGTCAGCAACATACAGTCGCTGACTGTCATGACTCACACAAAGGCCACCTGGTTCATTTAGCTGCAAACAATACAGACAGCAATAGTGACAGGAGTAGTAGAAGCCTTCTGAATCTTATTTGTAATAAAAGCAATTTATCCAGCTATTGTGCCAAAACATTTTTCATATTAGCCATAAATTTTGAATATGTTGATTAGGTCTTTTGTTTAATTTTTTTGCATAGTTCTACAGAAGGAATAGTTTACTATCCCTAATACATATGTTCTGTTATGATCAGATAACAATTTATATTTCTTTAGTCTCCTGCTCAATTCACAAATACAACTGAAGCACCAAGAGACTATTTAAATAACCATGTTATGTGATTCTATATAAAACTTCAAATAAGGTACACAGTCTTTTTTACAAAATTGCAAATGTTTCTATTTGAACCAACTATCACATGTGTAGTCCTCCTCCTTGACAGAAAATTCCCATGGTAACCTCACTTAAAATGGCAACATCTTATCTCTGTAGCAGGATGAGTGGTCCCATAAACAGGACATCACACAGCAAGTGTGAAGCTCTCTGTGCCACTGTGACACTCTCTTTCCTGCTCTATCATGAAGAAGGAAGTCATGTTCACATGACTTCAGGTTAGCCACTCACCTAACACTTCAGAGACTTGGTGTGAGGTTACCCACCAAGTGTGATCTACTCCATACCATTTTACATCTCTTTATGAAGTCTGACAATAAAGTTCGCAAACTTGCCACAGTGTGCTTGCTGTGGCAGCAGTGGATAGAAAGCTCAGTATTGCTTGATAATACTGGCATATCAGCATTTCACAGTGGTGAAACTGTCTGAGTGTGATTTGGTGTGCCATCATGAGAATGTAGAAACTTGAATTAGAGCAATGAATGAACATTAAATTTCTTGTTAAACTTAGCAAAAGGGAAAGTGAAATCAGACAGATGGTACTGCAAGTTTACGGGGATAATGCTATGAAGAAAACAGCAGTTTACTAGTTATTCTCAGGGAAGAGAAATTGTCACTGATGAAGAGAGATCAGGATGGACAGAAAAGATAAGCAGAACAGAAGATAACATTGAAGAAGTTAGTCATATTTTGCGTGAAAATTTTTGGCTGACTGTCAGGAGCATATAGAGGAAGTGAACATCAAAAGTGAAACAGGTAAATCTTAACTGAAGATCTAGACAAGAGGAAGGTGTCTGCAAAAATGGTCCCAAAGGACCTCACCTAAGAACAAAAGCAAAGAAGAGTCAAAATTTGCCAAGACCTTTTGGAGAGGCAAGATGACATTTTGGGCCATGTCATCACAGATGATGAAATATGGGTCTACCAATACTGACCAATATGACCCCGAAACGAAGCGGCAAAGTGCACAAAGGAAGACTGCCATTTCTCCATGATCAAATATTCTGTCAGTCCAAATAAAAAAAAAGTTGCTAACATTTTTTGATATTGGAGGGATTGTTCCTTATGAGTCGGTACCAACAGGACAAACAATTGACCAAGTTTACTAGTTGGAAGTACTGAAAAGGCTGTGTGGAAAAGTTAGATGGAAACGACCCAAACTTTTTGCCAACAGCTCATAGATCTTGCATCATGACAATGCACCTGCTCACATGGCATTGTCTGTGAGAGAGGTGTTAGCTAGTAAACAAATAACTGTGCTGGAACAGCCTCCATATTCTCTGGATCTAGCCCCCAGTGACATTTCTCTGTTCCCGAAGATAAAGGGAATATTGAGAGGAAGGCATTTTGATGACACTGATGACATCAGGAGTAATACTATGACAGCTCTGAAAGCAATTTCACAAAACCAGTTCCAAAATTGTTTTGAAGGATGGACTAGGTGCTGGCATTGGTGCATACCTTCCCAAAGGGAGTACTCTGAAGAGGACCACAGTGATATTCAGCAATGCAGTATGTAGCACTTTTACTGCATAGAGTTCGAATCTTGTTGGTCATGTGTGTAAGTTTGAATCCCACTTCTGACACCAGTGTAACGTGTTTTGTTACTGAAGACGTTGTAGAGATTGTTAATTGGTTTATTCAACAACCTACAAATCTCGGCTACAATTAATTATAACAATGTTGCGGGTTTTCACAATTTATAACCCTATTTGCAAATCAAATCACTCTATTGTCAGTATACACGTCTTTATAACGCGGGAGGTATACAAGTGCAACTGTATCACACACTCCCAATTATTACTCGTTTATCAGGAACTATCACTGATTCTCACACACGCGTCCGTAACACGTAACTTGCCGCTGGCTAGATTCGAACTCAACTTCTAACCGCTCACTGCTGGCTAGAGAACTCGTTCACTGCTGACTGGAGAACTGTCTTTGGCCGCTGATACACTTTTAACTGTTAACTGCGCTCAGCGACGGCCACATTACAACTCAACTCGTGGGCTGCTGCCTTGAGAACTGTCTTCAGCTGCTGATACACTTTAACTGTCTCCGGGGATGGCTACACGTTAACTGGCTTCGTAGGCAGCGTGGTTCACTTATATAGTCGCAGAGCCCACCTGTTATGCAATCCTTACCGCTGTTGGCTGTTACCCGTGACACAGCTGCGTTGTGTTACGTCACTGTGCGGAGGGGGGCGACGGAGCGCTGACTCACCTGCCACGTCACTGCTGGGGGGGAGGTGTTCTCCGTTGCGCAACACGTCACACTATGTAATGATGTAATGCCCCCCCCCCCCAACGTGATGAAGACTGTTGTACATTTCATCCTCAAGGCACACTGCATACATCCTAGGAGATAAATGCCATAGCATGCCTAATTTTCTGACATTCCTTAATGATACAGAGGTTGCCAAGTTAATATACTTGACAGATTCATCATTATTTTAATGCAACATAATACGTACTGTTGGCATTTTTAATGTACCAGTCCCATGTGCTTAATTTTGCAGTTTTACCCTCAATCTGTCTGTTCCAGTTACAGTCCGACATACACACAATTTTACTGAACTCCATTCTGGGTTATGTAACAGCATTCTTACTTTAGCTTTGTTCAGATGAAATGGTCTTCCATGCTGGTATGCCTTAACAGCCACTCACTTGACAAATTTGAGCAAAGCAATAATCTTCAGCTGAAATGATCTGAAGATATCATTTCATGCCTTCCTGAGGAGTAATGATGCTGATTCTGTGTCACAGAATGACAGCCATAACCCTCCAGTCATAAGAAATTCTATGCTAAGCATAAGTAAATTGATTTCCATGAAAAATATTGAAAATGAGACTGTACTGCCTACATGTTTTGATGTAGATACAAAGCTCAACTGTTCTTTACAACTCTATTTTGACACCAAACTTCTAGATATGAGATGAAACAAATCTTTAACCTTGTGAAAAACAAAATACAACTCCTATCCCCTCCCTCCAAAGAGATGAAATATATCCATCTGGAATTCCTGTACTGATACGGAAATAAATGTGCTTCTGGGAGTGATTATAAATATGGGCCTTAACATAGGTTACTGTCCTGGAGCATGACTGAAAAGAATTTCAATTATGCCTGCTTATAGGAAGAATTTAAGTATTAATTTTAGGACCTGAATTTTATTCATGATGATAGGGCAGGGTGATATTCTTCCCCTCCCCCTGGAGGGGGCTTTTGCTCAGCCAGCTGTAGAGAAAATATACATCAATCTCAAATGCTAGGGGCCCTTACACTGCATCAGCTAGATGGAAATATATGTGGCTCAGCAACGTTGCCAGAAGTTTGGGTCTTGGGGAACATGGATGGTCTTGTAGTGAGCTGATGGGTTTATTAAAACTTGAAAAGAGTACGAGCTTGTTCTCAGATGTCTACTTCTGAATCTTGAAGTAAAGATGCTGGATGTGGGTGTCAGCAATGTTAATCAACTGTCTGTGTGTACCAGTGTCAAATTAAGCCATTATGTAGCACTCATACATATGAAATTACAAACCTAGTACCAGGATCCATGAAACATACGATATATGTTGCAATGACCCAACTAAAGAAGATTTGGCGAAAGTTTTCCTTCCTAGGAATGCACCCTGAGCATTACTGCATTTGTGCCCACACATGCACATGCATGCTTTCCTATCATCAGTCTGTCAGCTCGAACCTTAGCTGTCACCAATTGAGGAAACAGCATCTAGACTCAAAGCTAAGATGCTACAAATTATTACAAGGAGATACACTACTTAAAGCAAAAAACTGTGTAGAAAAATTCACAATCACAGTGCATTTTCAAAAGTTAGCACATGTTGAGTTTTATGCTGATAATGTGCTCCTTCTTTAAATATCAACTGTAAATACAGTAACTTAAATTATGAGCATTCTGATGGCTCTTACCTCTACATTATCTGGCCTTTCATAATGGCCAGCACTGTTGCCTGGCTTGCCAGATCCCAGTACAGTTGTGCACACATTGTTTGGAACACTTACAGCTTTCAGTTTGTGGTTATATGAGTCTGCAATGTACAGAGTTTTGTCTTGATTGCACCAGGCTACACCTAGAGGATGCTGCAGTTTTGCATCAAACTGTTTCCCATCCCTGTCTCCAAAGCTAAACAGATTCTGAAAATCAACCATATAAACTGTTATCATCATCACATAGTGTTTTACACCCACTAACTATGAGGGGCAGTCAAATGAAAATGGGTCAGAAGCCAGAACATATTAAAGAACATTTCTTACCTCAAAAGTAATTTCCAAAACTGTTAATACATTTATCCCACTGGGATAAATCCCATCCTTGAAAAAGCTTGTGGGCTGTCTATGGAATCACGTCTTTACCCAACCACACACGTCTTCGTCCAATGCAAACCAATGACCACGAATGTCTCTCTTCAGGTCTCGAAAAATGTTAAAATCACATGGGGAGAGATCTGGGCTGTAGGAGGGATGTTGAAGCACTTCCCAACAAAATCTCTGTAATGTATTCCTCACAGAGTTGGCAGTGTGGGGGCACACATTATCATGAAGGAGGATAATGCCGTTCGATAGCATTCCAGGGTGTTTTAACTTCATGGCACATCTCAGTCTCTGTAAAGTGTCTTCATAGCGCTGTGCACTGATTGTGGCCCTATGCTTGAGAAAGTCGACAAGCAGAGGGCCCTTGCAGTCGAAGAAGAATGTCATCACTTTACCGAAACTTGTTTGTATGGCTTTGGATCTTTTTGGTGGGGGAGAATTCACATGTTTCCACTGCCGGCTCTGCAGTTTGCTCTTGGGTTCAAAATGGTGGCACCAAATTTCGTCCCCAGTGGCAATACGGGACAGAAAAGCATACTCTTCCTCATGGCATTGTTGCAAGTGACCCAGTGATGCAGCTTTTCTCTGAGTCTTCTGTTCCTCCGTGACTTGATGTGGAACCAACTGCGCGCAGATTTTGCAGCACAGCATGTGTTTTGTCACAATGTCGTGGATGGAACCGTGACTTATTTCCATCAAAAGACTAATCTCTTCCACACTGATCTGTCGGTTTGCCTGGATATGACCATCCAACGCAGCAATAACATCAGGAGTGATGACAAGATGAGCCTGTCCTGGGCGAGCATCATCTTGCAGTGACACATGTCTCTCTCGGAATCTCTTATGTCACCCCAGCACACGTGAACGTGACATGCTGTTTTTGCCGTAAACAACAGACACGCGACAATGAATTTCTCATCCTCCTACTCCTTCAGCAGTCAAGAAGTGCACTACACTTCCTTGTTCTTCTTTACCCGCCTCCATTACTGATGTTGGACAACAACACGTAGCGCTAACCTTACTTCCAGCATAATAAACAAATGACTAGTGTGCAAGGGCACGTTCTCACTGTGCCTTCCCGAGTCCCCACCAGATGTTCGTACCGTAAGCAAATTCCAGTGTTACCAACTTGTGCACCATGTGAGTTATGCGTGGTGACCCATTTTCATTTGACTGCCCCTTATACATGTTCTATAGTGCTATGGTTGTATTCATCATAATGCTGTTCAAAATATACCCTGTATACTTCTGTATTCCATGCATGAAAAAAGAAATCACTGGGAAATTTTCCACAAATATCTGGAAGTGTTGCCAGTGAGGATCAAAGTGAGCACGAAAATAGGGTAAAATAGGGAAGGATGACATGGGTGGGATATTGTAGGTGAGATACCCATATACAATTCTGGTTTGATAACCTACCAGAAGAAGACTACTTGGGATATGTAGGTGTAATTGAAATAAAACATTAAAGTGGATGTTAAATGAATATGATGTGAGCACATGGACTGGATTAATCTAGCTCTTGTAAACACAGTTGTTAACCTTCTAATTCCAAAAACATTTTTGATTGGCTGAATACTGCTAATTTGCATCTCATGAAGAGCACTGCTCCAAAGAGTTAGTGAGAACATTCAGCATGTGGTCCATTTGAAGGGATGTTCTGTGTCACTGTTACATGCTCTGTGATGTAACCTTTAGCCAGATAAAAACAACATAAAGGGTGCAATGTCTCACCAAAGAAACATAATAAGCATGACATGAACACTGGATTAATACATTCAAGATGAGTTTAAAGGAATACATATTTATGCAGTTCTTTGGAGGAAAAAATCACCATTAGAGATATGTAAAATAAACATCTGATATTTTTCAGCATAAATCCTTTAAAAGCATGATCATGAAATTTTATGGATCATGTTCAAGCTATTACGGACTAATTTTACATGTGGTAATTGAATATTCAGCCGGTCACGGTAGCCGAGCGGTCTAAGGCGTGTACTGTCTTCGCTCGCTCGGAAGCTGGTTCGAATCCCACTCAGGGCATGGATGTTTGTGTGCGTTTTTCTGTGTTTGTGTACAGGTAGAGGCCTTGCGACGAGCTGATCACCCGCCCAAGGAGTCCTACCGAATGTGTAAGATCAAGAAAAACCGAAGTGAACGGAGAAGTTTATGGAGGTAGGCCTAGGCCCACTGGGGCTGCAGCGCCAGGGGGGGGGGAATTAATATTCGCTAATAGGATATAACGTTTTTAGGGCAGCTATCGTTAAAGGATTGGAATTTGGACTATGTATCCAGACATCTGCTGGACTATAGCTTTGCCCAGTCGGTGATAGCCCTCTTTGTGATTTACCATGTACATTCCAGCTTACTCTCAAGTGCATCTTGTGAATACCTGTCTTGTTTTACAGCTCACAGTTACATCAGCAGGGATCCAAATACATAGTCCAGACACCAATCTTCAAAATACAGGTCTCCTTAAAATGCTGTATCCTATCAATGAATACTCAATTATCACACATAAAATAAGCCATGATAAACTGAACATGACCCTTGTGTCACACTGATGTAACAATATTTCTGACAGTAATCTATGAAATCTGTCACCACCAGGGGTGGCCCGTGTATAGGCACTGCGGAACTGCAGCACCCCCAATTTCCACATGATATTATCGATAACATTTATATAATGAGTCCTTTTTTCTTTAGTTCTTTCTTTATACTTGTACAATACAATATATAATCCTTAAGCTTAATGTCACTAGCCAAATCTTTGTATGGAACCGTGCGCTTCTGGAGCAGCACCCCCACTAATTTTAGCTACGAGCTGCCACTGGTCACCACTCTACTGAAGCACAATACCGTAGCAGTACATGGGGATATATAGACAAAGCTTAAGTATTAGATAGCAGTGATCATCCAGCTTCTGCTCCACCCACCTTCATTTAATTTTAAATTAGAATTCTAAAATCAAATTGATGAGCATATGTTGGCGAGATTTTAAACAAAACTGACAGGCTGGTGTTTTAGATTTTAGATTGTGTGCAGTGTGACAGATATGCAGTGAAAAATACACCTGATGATGGCCGGTTGCGGCCGAAACATGTAGTGTAGAGGAAGAAAAGACAAAGCACTACAACCAAATAAATTGTTGCATTCACGACGGCATTTGTATTATTACATATGAGTATAGAAGTGTATAGTGCAACAGGATGCTTAACTATAATATCCCAGTCCACTGTTGCACACCCACCAGGATTCTCAGTTTCCCCTAGTCATCTCCTAGCAATGGATCTGAACATAGAAATTAGCACTTCAAATCACTATCAAGTGTTCTTGTTATTTTGTCTTCAATCTCTCTGGAACCTCGGAACTAAAAATTCTTCTGGACTGCTTAGAAACAGGTTGCATAACCCTGTTGTTCTACTGCTGCTTGGCGCGGACATGGAAAACATAGCCTTATCTATTGTTACGTGTTGGACGATGTTTACAGAGATGTTGCCTGGCAATGTATTGATCAGCTCTATTACAACATTAAAATTTAAATCTGTAGGACCATTACTTCTAAAAAATCATGGCACTCGGGTATCGAAACAAGCACTTACACACTGCAATGTAAACTTGTGAAGAAACAGTATTCAGTATTACTAGATTTGAAAACCAGTTGAAGACTGCCTTGATCTTTGATTTCAGTGAAAAAATTTTCTTTATACTTCCTTGTTGATTGGTCACTGACATTTGCAACAGATGTTATTTTGTTCAGTTTTGAGAACAGACGATATGCTGTCCATTGTTGTAATTGGCTTGCAGGCAATTTTTGTGACTGGTCATAAACAGTGGCATTCCCTTTTGCAAATGTTGAAATGATTTTGATGTCAGAAAATTCCAAATCTTTCATGAATACCTTCATATTTAAGAGTATACAGCTTGGTCACTGACATTTGTTACTCAGATGTTATTTAGGTGTTCTGGGTCTGAGCTTTTTGACACATTCATGAATATTATTCTCCTCAGAATATTTACACCATGAAATATATGTTCATGCTTAGAAAACTCAAATAACAATTCCAGGAGAACCTCTCATGGTCCAGTATAATTGATGACAGGGCCTGGAACCAGGCCATGGTCCAGCGGTTGAGAAACACTGTTCTAGACGGAGCCAGTCAGTGAACTATCAAAGCTCTTTATTATACAGTGAAAGTCTGTTATAAGGAGGATTTATCACAGCTTGAAGAAATAACATAGCATTTCTCCTGAGTCTTGTTCGTTGTATCTGCACAGTGACACTAAAGATTATATGACAGATTTTCACTGAACTGTGGTGAATATGATGTCTTCTCAGTCATTTCTCAGGTTCAGATTCTGTACTTGCCACTATGCCTTTCAGAATCTGAACACATAATTCTCCACTCTGTTTATTTCTCATACACAAAGCAGGAATGTGTGAAATGTGGTAACTACGAAAAATCCCCAGTTTTTTAAACAATATCAGTTCTGACACAGGAATGAAGTTAAGAGCATGATGCAGTTGTAAACAACACATATATTACAGTCTTATTAAAATCCACCACCCAGCATCGCAAAGTACTGTTAAGATTGTTTAGTAAAAATATGAATCACAAATGATCTATGACTTACAAAAGGACTTCTGTCACCTCCTACAACAGCAGACACCTTCCCATCTGTTAATGATATCTTCCGAATGGTGGAGCTCTCGCTGTCAGCGACAAAGACAGCCTGCAACTCATTTGCTACACTAAGACCTGATGGTTGAGCAAATCCAGCAGCATGTGGATATGAGTTATTGCGATTTTCTTCTTTACCACTGCCTACAACAGCAGTAAATGTGCCTGCTGGGTACAATCTGAAATATACAGTGCATGAACTTGTTTATGGCGTGTGAAGTTCAGGGAGTAGTCTGTTATGAGGAGAATACATATTTTAAATAGAAAGTAAAGTCTGCATCAAAGGACTGAAAGTAGAAGCAACATGCCAAACATATATTCTTTTGAAGAAAGCAATCTTCTGGGATGTGGCACCGTGTAGATGCGGTGTTAACCAACATTTCGGAGGAACATGTCACCTCCATCTTCAGGGTAGAAGGAAAAATAAGAAAATCCGCAAGTGAAGAGACAGATCCACAAGGCCACACAGTCCATGACCGACTCATATAGCAACCCCCCCAGCTTAAGGGTTAATGCCCTCCCACTAACCTTGCCTTTCTTCCCCGACACAATATCCTATACCTGCTCTAACCTGCTCTCCTGTCCCAGACCCTTACCCTCTCCCTCTCCACTGATATCCCATGTAGACTTGTCTCTTCCTTCCCTGCTCTCATATATCTGAGTTTATTTCCAACATTAGTCTGCTTGCACCTGTTCTCACTGTCTCTTCGCTTGCTGATTTTCTTATTTTTCTTTCTACCCTGAAGATGGATGTGATACGTTCCTCCAAAAGGTCGGTTAACACAACATTTACACGGTGCCACATTCCAGAAGAATGCTTTCTTCATAGTCACCACCGTGAAAACCTCAAATCTTACATACACTCTTTTCTTTGCTTTTACTTCTCAATTGTCTTTACATGCAGTCTTAAAAACTCAATAGCTGAAGAAGAAGTCAGGCAAACTGAAGAGCAATGCTACAGCCCTGCACGAAATCTAACCTAAAGTACAGTTCAAAGTAATGGGGTCAGAATTCTAATTCATTCATGTTACTCCTACGTTCACTCATTCACTCACTCATGGAGCTGAGCCCTTCTTGAGAAGCCACCAATTGTGGAGCTACACAAGAACTTCCCAGCATTCTATGGAACCCAAAGGTTCATTACCATGTTCAAAAGAGCCCTCTACTCATCCCTATCCTAAGTGAGATCAATCCAATCCATACCATCCCATTCTATTTCTCTGAGATCCATTTTGATATTGTCCACCAACCTACACACTGGTCTTCCCAGTGGTCTCTTTCCTTCCAGCTTTCCCACCAATATCCCATATGCATTCCTCTTCTCCCCCATTCGTGTTACATACCCTGCCCATCTCATCCTCATTGACATGATCATTCTTTTTATACTTGGAGAGGAGTACAAGTTATGAAGCTCCTCATTATGCAGTTTTCTCCAACCTCCTGTCACTTCATCTCTCTTTGGTTCAAATATACTCAACACCCTGTTCTCAAACACCATATGTCCCTCCCTTAATGTTAGAGACCAAGTTTCACACTCATACAGAACCACAGAAAAATTATAGTTTTGTATATTCTAATTCTTATGTCTTTAGACAGCTGACAAGAAGACAAAAGCTTCTGGACTGAATAGTAGGAAGGATTACCCGAATTCAATCTCCTCTTAATTTCCTCCTGAATCAGGTTTCGATTTGTTATAGTCATTCCCAAATAGCTGAACTGTGCCACATTTTCAAAACATCTGTTACATAACTCTGTAATGATTTTGCCATGCATTTCAGTGGCCAGACAGCAACATATACTTAGTTTTCTCTGTGTTTACTTCTAGACCAACTTCCTTACCAGTGTCAATTACAGTTTGTGTTTCTATTTATAGTATCTATGAGGGGCAGTCAAATGAAAACTGGTCAGAAGCCAAAACATATTAAAGAACATTTCTTACCTCAAAAGTAATCTCTAAAACTGTTAATACATTTATCCCACTGGGCGATAAGACAGTCAATCCCATCCTTGAAAAAGCCTGTGGGCTGTCTACAGAAACACATCTTTTGCATTCACATGTTTCCACTGTTGGCTCTGCAGTTTGCTCTTGGGTTCAAAATGGTGGCACAAAGTTTCATCCCCAGTGGCAATACGGGACAGAAAAGAATACTCTTTTTCATGGTATCGTTGCAAGTGACCCAGTGATGCAGCCATTCTCTGAGTCTTCTGTTCCTCTGTGAGTTGATGTGGAACCCACTGCACGCAAGATTTTGCGGCATAGCAGGTGCTTCTGTCACAATGGCGTGTATGGAACCATGACTTATTCTCATCAAAAGATTAATTTCATCCACAGTGATCTGTTGGTTTGCTCGGATATGACCATCCAATGCAGCAATAACATAAGGGGTGATTAAACGATGAGCCCTGGGTGAGCATCATCTTGTAGTGACATATGTCCCTCTCAGAATCTCTTATGCCATGCCAGCACACGTGAACGTGACATGCTGTGTTTGCTGTAAACAGACATGCAACAATGAATTTCTCGTTGTCCTACCCCTTCAGCAGTCGAAAAGCTGTTCTTCTTTATCCGCCTCCATTACTGATGTAGCGCTAACCTTACTTCCAGCACAATAAACAAACGACTAGTGTGCAAGGGTACGTTGTCACTGTGCTTTTCCGAGTCCCCACCAGATGTTCGTACTGTAAGCAAATTCCAGGGTTATCAACTTGCGTGCCGTGTGAGTTATGCATGGTGACCTGTTTTCATTTGACTGCCCCTTATATACAGAGTGATTCAGAAAGATGGACACAATTTCAATTGGCTATATTTCCTGAACTGTATGTTGCATTTGAATTCTGTAAAGTGCATTTGAAAGAGGATGTTGTAAATTTTCTAATATTATCGCTGGAGCACTCCAGCACTGCGTCAGTTGTAAGTGATAGAGCACTCCAGCACTGCGTCAGTTGTAAGTGAGATGGCTACTATGCAACACAAGATTTTTGCATTCGTGAGTTCAGTAAAAGTGAGTCTGGGACTGCAGTGCAGCGTGCATTTCGTCCTAAGTTTAACATCCAACCTCCAACGAGGAAGAGCATTTATCGTTGGAATAAACAATTTGATGAAACTGGCTCTCTGTGTAAGGGTAAAAGCCCAGGCCGATTGTGTGTATCAGAGGAGAACTTGGAGTGCATTCGAGTGAGCTTTGAGCGTAACCCAATGAAGTCAACCCGTAATGCTAGCAGAGAACTTGGACTATCGCAAACAACTGTCTGGCGTGTACTGAGGCACCGGTTAGTGTATACACCATACCACCTAGAACTGGTATAGGCTCTTTGCGCAAACGATAAGGTAAAGCGTGTAGAATTTTGTGACCATATGCTCAAAAACATGGAAGATGAATTGTTTCTGCCTCGTGTAATTTTTAGCGATGAAGCTAAGTTTCACCTAAGTGGGAAAGTCAAGAGGCACAATGTTCACATATGGGGGCTACAAAATCCCCGTGTAACACTTGAACATGTTAGGGACAGCCCGAAAGTTAATGTGCTGGCTGCAATATCGTTAACAAAGGTTTATGGACCTTTCTTTTTTGATGAAAACACAGTTACTGGAGTAATGTATCTTAGAATGCTGCAAAACTGGCTTGTTCCTCAAATGAATGAAGATCCAGGAGATTACATTTTCCAGCAGGACGGAGCTCCACCCCATTGGCACCTGAATGTTCAACATTTCCTGAATGAATCTCTACCTCAACGATGGATAGGTTGCATGGGGAATGAAGAGCTGGCACTTCAGTTCTGGCCACCGAGGTTTCCTGATCTCACACCCTGCAACTTTTTCCTATGGGGATTTGTGAAAGATGCAGTTTACGTACCACCTCTTCCCACAAATCAGAATGACCTAAGAAACCGTATCACAGCTGCGGTGAACTCAATGACACAAGATATTTGTCATTGAGTGTGGGATGAATTCAGCTACCATCTAGATGTTATCCATGCAGCTGGAAGGGGCACACTGAACATCTATAAACCTCCATGTATGTATAATCAAATGTAATTTACAGAATTCAAATGTAACATATAATTCAGGAAATATAGCCAATTGAAACTGTTTCCATCTTTCTGAACCACCCTGTATTATCATTATATATCCACATCATCCAGCACAGACCAACAGCTGATGTGTCCTATCTAATTTCAGTCCCACCTGGTTTTCCTGGACCTTCCTAATGGCATATTCTAAAGTAAAGTTCAAAAGAGTGGTGGTAAAGCATGTCCTTGTTTTAGACCATTCTGGATAGGAAAATTATGAGACAAATGTTTACCTGTATGGTCTTTACTCTATGCTATCAAACTCTTATCAGAATAGCTGATGCACAGACTCATTGTACTCCCATTTTTTCTTCAGTATCTGACAAATGAGCCAACTGTCTAGAAAATGTGGGAACCTCAACATCTCACAACCCTATGGGCCTCCACGGCCTGTTACAGGGATACCTTTACTTTTTTATCTGACAAATGCAAAAGATATCACCAGTAGTTGGTCTATTATATTGAAACCCACACTGATAATCCCCAATAATTTCATCTATGTATGGACTTAACCTTGAGAGAAGAATAGTGGATAGAATTTTGTACGAAGTTGATAGCCGTCATATTCCACAATAATTTTTTTTTTTTATTGCTAGTGAGGTGGGACTAAGTCCTTTGAACTGCGGCCACTTCTGGCCTATTGTACCAGCCCCAGATGATAGGTGAGGTACTCGGAGAAAATTCTGCCCCAGCGCCACTTTGTCCACCACAAATCCCACTTGACCAGACCCGGGATCAAACCCTCCCACAATAATTACTACAGCCAGTTTTATCAGCATTCTTGTGAACTGGTACAATAATAGACTCTTTCCACTTATCATGCAATTTTTCCTTATGCCAAATAGAAGTAATTAGCTTGTGGATCTTAGAACGTAATATTTCACATCCTGCTTGAATAAGTTCTGCTGGAATTAGATCATTACCTGGCGATTTATACCTTTTTCTACTTTGCAATAGCACGTTCAATCTGAAAAGGGCTAGGATCAGGTAATAACGGCTCAGCTGTATGTATTTCTATGTGCCTAGCATCACCGACCCTATTTACAATCAATAACTGAGAGATGTAGTTCTTCCAGCTATCCAAAATGTTGTGGGAATCTGCAAGCAGATCACCATTCTCATCCTTCACTAAGTTACTTCTAGGTTGGTAACCCCTCTTAAAGTCATTTATTCCTCTATACAGGTCTCTAATGTTCTTGTTCTTACTGTTCATTGCAAGCTCATCAATTTTGTCTTCCAGATATTCCTTTTTTTTTTATTCCTGAAATGCCTGCTGGTTTCATGTCTGCCAGTCTTTCCCTAACCTTTGCCACCACCATGTAGTGGTCAGTATCACAGTCTGCTGTCCTGAATGATCGGACATCAAGTATACTTTAATGCCGTCTCCTATCTATCAAAATATGGTTGATTTGAATGTGCGTCTTCCCATCAGGAGATGTCCAGGTAAATTTATGAATGCTACGATGTGGGAACATTGTACTTTTGACAGTCAGATTTTTTGATGTGGCAAAGTTTATTACTCTAACTCCATTATCATTACTAATTTCATGCAAACTCTCATTTCTCCTAACAACATTTTTATATGGTACATGTAGTACTATATTGTATTATATTCTTTTTGCTACTTCCTAAATATTTTTAATATATTCAAAGTGGGGAGGCTTGTAGTAATTTAATTCAATCTGTCATTAGTTTGTACAAAGCTTCTCTATTTATAATACAAACATCCATAATTTTCCTTTCTATTTATTTTGTTTATAGTATTACTTATTGACAGGTGACCAACTGATTAAAAAATTCAGTAGTGGCAGATTAACTCAAAACATCACATGTTCATACACACTTAGCTTTCATTATAAAATAAGGAAAGCAGGCTAAAAATAATAACAATAATAACGATTAATTTTACTTCCATAGTACATTTGATGAATATTAATATGATTAATACTAAAACAGTAAAATAGATTGCTATAATTTTTCACCTACTTGCCCTTCCACCATGTAGTTTCATTTAGAAAAAGTGCCCAAATCTGGTGCAATCCTGCCATGGCAATTAGTAGTACATCTCTGTCTGATTCTTCAAGAGCGGAAGACTCGGTGATCAGACTGCTTGAAACCAGACAAAGATCCCATGGTGAAGAGATCACCTGTTCTGTCAACTGTGCACCACCGACAACATTCAAACCTTGAGAGCTACTGCCAACAAGTGTCCTCACATGTAATGTCTGCAAGTTGACCTGAAATTGCATCAGATATAGATTTAAGAATCCCGCTCTAAAAATGTTCAAAATGCAAAGGAAAACTAAATCTTTTTCTATAGAATTTTCTTCATCAAAATATATTCATTATAAAAAAAATCCCAATCTAATAAGTCTTGTTACATCAATAATCTCTTTCATTTATTGATATGGCTTTGGATTGTGTGCTCTAAACATGTGGTTAGCATAAGTAATCTCATAACAAAGAAGTAGCTGATATAGAGATCGTGCAATATTTTCAACGTACAACTGTACAAAACAAGGAATGGTATACATGAATATGTTGACTTAGGCCTAGTGCACACATGCAATTTTATTTGGCCGATAGTTGTGCACGTTTCCGAGAAACATCGCGTTTAATGGGATTGCGCACATGTCACGATAGTTGTTCCAACAGTCGGTGAGCAGTTGGGTTCTACCTCAACTGCCCACCGACCCAACTGTTGGTGATAATGCCGGTGTACATGAGCTGTTATGGAAGTGCACACACATACAATTGAAAATCATGCACGATTTGACCCTCAGTCAACAAGTTGTCTTTTCCTGCCTCTCTTCGCGCTCGCTCTAATTCCTCTAGTTGCAACATGTGGGATCAAAGCATCAACAAGCTTATAGAAGAAGTGGAGAAGTGGCCAGCTCTTTATTTAAAATCATGTAAAGAATATTCCGATACTAATCATAAGAAGGAGTTGTGGGAAGAGGTGCGTACTGCTCTGATTGAAAATTGGAATGGTCTGGCCCCTGAAAAAAAAACTGAAGGTAATTATCTGTACTTTAGGTACTTATAGTCTTCATAAATTACATATCTATATAATACTTTAAGACAATAAATTTCTGTTAAATATTTTAATTATATACATATACAGGGGGGGTCCAAAAAATGTACTCACTCTTTGATAGTCAATATCTTTGGAACAAATGATACGTAGTTACAATTCTTGTGCGGTAGTGTAGTGTAATGTTTTCTCAACAGATGGCAAAGGTCACATGAGTCATGTGAGTGTTGTGCCATATGCGCGCTGCAAGCAGAAGACAGCAGCAACAATGGCTGAAAAGGTGTTCTTTGAGCAATGCAAGGCTGTATTGAAGTGGTACTGGAAGTACGAAAACATTAAAGAGGTACAACAATGGCAGAATGAGTTTGGAACTCAGCCATCAACATGTTGAACAACTGCCTGCATTCGGGATAAATTTGAAGATGATGGTATGTTCATGATGTACATAAGCAAAGATCTGGGCGACCATGGATAGTAACAAGTCCAGCTTCCAGTGCTGTGGTGTTGCAACACTTTACATGATCACTGCAAAAATCTGTAAATCTGTGTTTGGAGATGAGAGATTTTACCTACAAGATGGTGCTCCACCTCACTGCCATTGATATGTCAGGGCGTACTTGGACGACACTCTACCTGGACGATGGATAGGTCAAAGAGGTGCTACTGAGTACACACCACAGTCTCCAGACCTAACACCTCTCGACTTCTACCTACGGAGAACCTTGAAGGATGAAGTTTATCGACAAAAGCCAGCTACACTGAACACACTACAAGAAACCATCGACGCGTTGTGTGCAGCCATCACACTGGACACACTGACAGCTGTAGTTCGCTCAGAAGTTCAGCAAAATCGAGGCTGTTTAGCTGCTGATGGTAGTCACTTTGAACACATACAATGACTCTCTCTCTCTGTGCAAGAATTGTAACTACATGTCATTTTGTTCCAAAGATATTGACTATCAAAGAGAGATTACATTTTTTTGGACCCCTCTACATATAGTACAATTATTTCTGTTTATTTGAAAAGTTTTCTCTAATATATTGCTTATACAGTATTTTCAGCATGATCAATTTTTATTTCATTGCCAATTCTTAGTGAATTGTAATGAGTCTAATAACTTACATAAAAAGTGATCGTACCCTTAATGTTATGTAAGAGAAAAATACTATTTTTGTGTGATTTGTGTTTGCAATGGGGTACGTGGTAGTATAGTTGGTTGAGGCACTGTGCTACAAGCCAGAAGGTCTCAGGATCGAATCCCGATGAGGTCATTGGATTTCTTCAATTTACCCAATCCTTCCAGCCGCACTATGGTCCTGTGGTCAACTCAGCCACTAACAGAAATGAGTACCAGGAATATTCTTCAGAAGTTCTTGGCGGTAAAGGGCGGCTGGCACGTAGGGCTGACAACCTTACCGCCATCTATGAGCCGACTGTCTAGAAAATGTGGAAACTTCAACATCTCACAACCCTATGGGCCGCCACGGCCTGTTACAGGGATGCCTTTACTTTATCTGTGCTTGCCATAATAATTCCAGAAATATTAAACTCTAATCTCCAGATTGTATTCTTGTACAAGGTACGAGGTTTCAGAAGAAGTAAAACTTCATCAAAACTATCAACATTCATTCTGTAATAATTGAAAAACTTTGATGGGTATTGTCTCAGTTTGTGGTACAATGTGTAAAATTTTCCTTTTTTAACAGACGTTTGCCATAAATAGTGTGAACCCAATATTCCCACTTCCTCTTTTCCTTAATCTTAACAATAATGCACACACTACTGTTGTATCATACACATTCATGCTGCTACTGACCGACTGATCATTGGCGAAGTTGTGGACAACTCGAAATTGTATGTGTGCGCACATCCCTCAACAGTCGTTGGGCCTTCACGATCATGCACAACTATCTGCCAACTAAAAATTGCATGCGTGCACTAGGTCTTATGTAACACCTATTGGTTTAAAGTGGACTAGAGGCA